CCTCCTACAGAGGTATCCCATAACTGGCACTAGAAATTTTGTTTGGTAAACGACTACTTCTAGGCAGCATTACATAGCCTTGCAGGGTGTTTCCCTTTAATCTCTTTTGTACTTTTTAATTGTGTTACAAGATAGTAAATTTCCAATGGTTTTTCACCAACCCATAAATTTGGCTAACCTTTCCCCCAATTCCTTGTCTCTTCAATCCCTTTATGCCTTTCTGCCTCCATTATTCCCCTCCCGTATTTTCCTTTTACCTATGCTCCACTATCCTCCCTCCTCACTGAAGAGCTGGTTCAGCAGTTCTCTTGCAGAGAACTCAGGTTCAGTTCCCACCACCCACATGGTGGCTCACACCCATCTGTAACTCCTGTTTCAGGTGATATAGTGTTCTCTTCAGGCCTTAGTGAGCAAGAGGCACACACATGGTATACATGCAGACCAGATACTCATATGAATAAAATAAAAATAAATCTTTAGAAAAAGATATTCTCCCCACCAATGTCCCCTTTAGACTCCTGGCTTCCATGGGCATTCTAAGTAAACAGAACAAATACAATGTTAGGTAGAGTCTAACTTCATTCTTTGTATGGAATTGCAAGGGACCCAGCCAGTCAAAAACAAAACAAAACAAAACAAAAAAAAACCAAAATAAAACAAAAAGCAGAACAACAGTATAAAGTCAGTGTGGTACTAAAAATAGATACATCTAAATCAATGGAAAAGAACTCAGAATCCAGGAATAAACCCATGTTTCTTATACTCAGATGATTTTTGGAAAGGGTGCCAAGACTCAAATTAGGAAAACAATAGCCTACCCCTGTCAACCCATTTCTTCCTTACAAATCTCTCACATTCATGTCTATTTGTTTTGTGACCCACTGAATTTAACTGCCATCTGTGTGACCATGGGTTTGGAACTATCCTTTGGAGTCTGGTGGGCTCAGCAGTGGGTGTACAACTGAAGATGACTCCTTGTTTCCCAGAATCTATCAATAGCCATTAGTTCAGCAGTAAAAGATAGGACACCAGGAGGCTCACCCTACCCCATCCCCACCACCTCGCCCGAAATCCATGATTACTGACAGGGTCGGTCTTCTATAGGCCCAGTACAAGTAACCACAGCTGCTCTGAGTTCATGATTGTGTCATGCCTAGAAGATGGCATTATGCAGCCCTTCTTCCTTATCCTCTGACTCTTAATTTTCTTTTATTATATTCACTCTTTGACAATTTCATACAAGTACATAATACATACTGATTACTCTTACCCACTGTCACCCTTTGCTATCTGATTTTCAAAAGTAGTACTTTGACAAATGGACATTAAAAAGAAAAGCCCAAGACCAAGCGTGGTAGCACACACCTTTAATCCCAGCACTCAGAAGGTCAAAGCAGCGGAACTTCTTTGAGTTCAAAGCCACCATAATGAGTTCCAGAATAGTCAGGACTACATAGTGAGACCTTAATTTTTTTTTTTTTTTTTTTTTTTTTTTTTAAGCAGGGTCTCCCTGTAGCCCCAGCTGGCCTGGAACTCACTATGTAGACCAGGCTGGACTTGAACTCACAGAGATCCGCCTGCCTCTGCCTCCCAAGTGCTGGGACTACAGGCGTGCACCACCACGCCCGGCTTAGAGAGACCCTAATTTTTAAAAATAAAAATAAAAAAGCCCAGAGACAGATGACTTCATTGATGAAAACTACAAAGCACTTAAAGGACTCAGAGCAATTGCTCACAAAAATCTCAAAAAGTAGAACTTGCCAATTCATTCTAGGAGGTAATTATTACATAAAAACAAAACTACATATATAATGTGAGGTAGGGTATAACTTGATTACGGGAAAAGAAAATGATAGGCAGGTATGTCTTAATGCAATATCTGTCAGAATCCAACCTGAGTCAACTACAGAAACTAACATTCTATAATTCATATGGACTTGTTGGTCAAGGAAAGACCCAGAAGTCCTCAAAATAATACAGGCTCTTTATGGTCCTCTTGGTTGCCCACTAGAGAAAACAAGCTGGAAACTTCCTCCCTGATAGCTAGCTTTCAAAATGCCAGAAGGTACTATGTAGACTGCTGTCAGATAAAATGCATCAATGGTCTAATCCAGTTCTGAACTCTATAAACTATAAAACCAACCTGCCAGGAAAGTTGAGTCTACATGTCCAATAGTGGTATGATTATTATGGGGGCAACCAATTTCCCCTGGCTAGATTTGAGAACCATTCTACAGAAGAGAACCATGCTATTTAATATTAAAATACAAATATTTGCCTGAAACAAATAAAACCTCACATAATTTAAAAGTATACTCTAAGGTAACTTCATGACTAAGAGAAATAGTATCAAAAGAGAAGAATGGTGTCATTTGATTCTAAATCTGCCCTTTCCCTCTACTCCCATACAAGACCTGTAATGTCAGTATTAGTAGAGTATAAAAAGCAAAACCACACTGCAACCTTCAAATTACCTCTAAGCAGAAATAAAAAGAAAAAAAAAAAAATCACAAACTTCCTACAGCTCCTCAGCTGCTACACATTTTTTAGGGTGGAAAGGGAATGAAGGGAAGCTTAAAAGATCACATGAGAAAGAGTTGAGGGTAGCCAGACATAGTGGCTCATAACTTGTAATCCCAGTATTGGGAAGCTAAATCAAGAAGATTACAAGTTTGAGACTAATCTGGGCTACATAGAAAGCTCCAGAACAGCCTGGACTATAGAGTAAGACCCTGCCTTAAAAAAATGGAGGGAAAGGGAGGTGAGGGGAGGGAAAAGTACATAAAAATTATTCCCAGAATGCATTCATACAAAAATAATGCCAACTAGGAATTAAGCTATATAGGCTATAAACTATAAAGAAGAGTTTGAAAACAGGAACAACCAAAGTTGAAAAGCAGAAGAGAACCCTACACACAGGCACACACTACCACTACCACTGGTAACCAGCCTATCATCTCATCTTAATAATATGATCTCTATCATGCAATTCACACAGGGTTTGTTATTTTTTTCCTTCATTGATGTTACTGTCAAAGATCAGAATTTATGCCCTAATATATTAGGTACTCTAATTTTTCTTTTATTCTTGAGTATAGTTATTTATTCAGTTCAGACTACCTTCTGGACTAAGCAATGAGTTCCTTGGCTAATTTAGAAACACTTTGTTTAAATTTACCATACTTGACTGAATTTAAGGGATGTCCCTATCTTATTCTAAAATCTAAAAAATAATCCCAAATTTACTTTATTCATACCATTTACCACCGTGCCTACACAATAGTTTGCAAAATGGAAGAAACTACATGTCTTGGATGATATGAAGAAAGACATTCTATTCTATCTAACATTAAGTAAGCAAGAAATGAACACTACTCGCAAAATGAAAAATTTAATGGTGAAAGAAGTTTAAAAGGTATGCGAACCAGCAAAATCTAGATCTGTTTTTAAAGAAATCCAACAGTAAATTTAAAAATATATAATTACAGAAAAACAAGATAGCAAGAGAATGCTTTATCAGTCCTTCCACCAGGTAATTGTGACAAGATTAAACTCTAGTACACAGTTAAAGTAAAGCATTTAAACCCTAATACATGCTTCCTAAATGCATTTAAAGTTCTGAAAAAAAATTAAACAAAAGCCACACTGGCTTTAGGAATATGAAAGAGCAAACTATAAGAAAAATTTTAGTATGTTTTCATCATAAAACCTTTATGATGTCATTAATCAAAATAATAAATCAGGCCGGGTGTGGTGGCGCACACCTTTAATCCCAGCACTTGGGAGGCAGAGGCAGGCAGATCTCTGTGAGTTCAAGGCCAGCCTGGTCTACATAGTGAATTCCAGGACAGCTGGGGCTACAGGGAGATCCTGTCTCAAAAAGACCAAAAATTAAATAAATAAATAAATAAATAAATAAATAAATAAATAAATAAATAAATAAATAAATAA